CTCTCTCTGTTTTTCCAAGGTTCAACCTTCAGCAGTCAGGAGAACAAGAGGAAATGGCTGGGTTTTCCACAGAATACGCAGTGTTTTAATTCAGGCCTTGTCAGTAATGATTTGAGCGAGGCCTTTTACTGTAAACCGCTCCCATGTCTCAGTCTGGGCATAGAAACAGAACTTTGAGCTGTCTTTTATTGATTTCTGGATAGTAGTCTGTTTAATGTAGCTAGAATTACATTTGTCTGAAGTTGTCCCTAGACTTTTTTTAATGCTGTCAAAGCCTTGCTGTTATGTACTTTTAAGGCTTGAAAGTTGGCTGTAATGAGCTAATACTGTCTTTAAATACACTGTTTACTGTTTAACTCTCAAATCGTGACACTTACCTTCCATCTCTGTTCCTCTTACCTGTCCCAGAATCTCCTCAGTTGTCCTCGCCCCTCTCCACCAGCGAACATGACCAGCCAAACGTTGACTTGAGCCCAGACTGTTACAGCCGGCTATGTGTGGAGCCACTGGATGGAGAGGGTGACCGTCCAGTGAGCCTGGTGTCCACCCTGTCCTCTGGTTCATCCCGTGATAGTCGCAGCCTTTTTGGGAGCACCGTAGCCCTTCCTTCCTCCACCACCCCACCCATACAGAGCGAGGAGGACATAGACTTGGAGCTGAGCCCAGCCGAAGGCACCTGTGAGCAAGCAGGGGACCAGAGTCCCACCCTTACAGGCTCCAGGGGCCGCTGGCGGGAGCGGCTGCAGCCCAGGGTGATCAGCAACCAGTGGAACAACAACAACGCAACCTCCAACAGGAAGTCAAGCAGTGAAATACCTCACATCCTCGCCTCGCCTGTCATCACGGACGCCATGGCGCCCAACCCAAAGCTGACCTATGTGGACCGCGTTGTCATGGAGATCATTGAGACAGAGCGCATGTACGTCAAGGACCTGCGCAGCATCGTGGAGGTGAGTGGATGTCAGGGTTTTGCTGACTGTGCTCAAATTGAATTTTCCGTTAGAGTTGGTGTTTTTCACTTTGAGCCAAGCATTCACTGCGAGCCAACCATTTGATATTACAGAAAGTAAATCATCAGTATTCTGTGCATTTAAAGCACATGTTTGACTTGGATTAATATGCAGCTATGACTTCATGTCTGTATAACTATTTGGAGGTGATTTACTGAATTTGGCCTGCCAGGAGCCAAAATAGGGAAATTGGACTCAACGGCTGTAGAGAGCAAATAATGTCTTCTGTGTTCCAAGCAGCTGTTTGTGGCCACAAATGAGTCTGGTACTTGTAAAACATCCAGTAGATTCTTCTTTTTCTTTTCATTACCATGATCCTTTCTGACTTCTTGATTTCTAAACAAATCGGTCAGTTGACAAAAATGTAGACCTGACATCTGGCAATTGTGTGCTTTTGTTTATAGATTCAGTTCTTAGAGATGAAGGCTGTAGAGCAATTTATGATCTGTTCCCAGTGTTGTATATAAATCATTCTGTATATTTACAGTGCAGTGAAAGTTTACAGCTTGAAGCCTAAGATTATGGACTCCACTCAAATCTGGAGTTCAAACACACAGTCAAAACTGGGACACAGTGCAGGTCTATCACAGCCAAAATCTTGGGCTTTGTGATCTTTGTCGGAGATAGTAGAAACCTCATCTCAGAGATGTGAAGAATGAAAAATGGGCCAGGGATGATTTTACCACTCAACAGACCACTTACAGCTTATCACATCTTCTACCTTTTGTAGTCTGGAAACAACTTCCAGACTAAGAAACCTCTGTGGCCTCCCAGTCTTTCCTGGGTCTAGCATAGAAACAGGAGCACTCTGCTGTCAAGCAATCTCCACTGAACTGATGGTAATGTCTTTAACACGTGAGGCATTTCTGAGACGGGCTGGCAGTAAACCAGCTAGCACCTCTCCTCACCTTGTCTCCGACTGTGCTGGCGTCTGGCAGTTGCTGTGGGAGGGAGTGCTTCCCTCGTCGCAGCTTGAGTAACGACTTGCTCCTGACAAACACTTCCAGGACTTCTAACTATTTCGGTTGACGGGAGCAGCAGCCCAGCCTGGTCTGGCCCCAGACACACAGACCCTGCAGCCTAGCCTGAGCTCTCAGGCCCTCCCGGCCAACACAAACACCTCCATCGTCGCACCAACTGGAGGAATAACACAGATGAAAGGAGACAGATTAGTTTTTCCACAGGGTACAGTACAGTGTGGGAATACAGTCTAGTACAGCTGTATCCTTTATCTTTTTATGATTACAGTATGGCTTCAATCAAACTGATGCCACGCAGCTCATTTTAATTTCACACCAAGCCTTATATCTGACAGAGATGTGTGAAACTCTTCCTTCATTTCGGCATTGTTTCCTCAGCAAACTAATCCAAAGCTTCCACTTGATATTGACACTCAATTCATGAGCAGCTGTTGAAGCTATGTTGACTCCGTCTTTAGATCTGGTTTATCACTGACCTCTCAACTGTCTGTCCATGAAAGAAAGGTTTGAGAACAGCTGTTTGACTCAGCTGGTCTTGCATGTCCAAATACACCCCCAACACCTGGCGTGACCACCCCCTGAATAATCATACTCAGCATTGTTGAAGTAAGAATGTGGTCAGTGCTTATGGGAATCCTACAAACCTGGTCAAACATATTACTCAGTATTATTCTTATTAGTATTATTCTTATTAGATTTTTTGATTTCATCCATAACATTTCAAAGGACAAACAGCCCTGCTAATTCTTGAAAAAACACATCTTGTAGCACTATAAACTAGAAGACTAAGCATGAAATCTCTCATACTATGCTAAAGGTCACGTGTTTATAGTGTTAACAGTAGTGGTGAGTTTTTCTGTTGGAGGCTCTGAGACACCCTGCTGACTGCAAGTCAGCATTGCTCTCATTGCGCTGGAATTCTGCATCCATGACCGGCTGCAGTTCATTCAGTAGTGCGATGTGATGACTCTACTCTTAATCTGGGCTGCCTGGCAGGCCTGCAAAGTGTGTTTGTGTGTGTGTGTGTGTGTATTTGCACCACATTGTCTGGGAGGCTGGGTGTGTGTACAAGCTGTTTACTGGTATGCTCTTTATTTAGTTTCTGCGTGTGTGCTAGTTTGTCCCTCGTCAACTTACTCCTCCACTTGTTTGGAGCTGTTTGTATGCCACATGAGTGTGGAAGGAGGTTTATCATCCAGATGTTGGCATATATGGCTACTGTGTTTTTAGATATTTTTATCCACTTCTGAATACTCCTGAGGTCGGGGGGAATCGGGTCTTTGGAGGGGAACAGGCTGTGCTCATGTTTACTGTCTGGGTACAACAGAACCTCTTCCAGACAGTCACACTGGCTTCTAGTCAATGGAACAAATCCTTAAAAGGACCCTTTAAAGATCACATCAACTGTATGTGAGTTCCTGTAAGGATCCTGTTATTTAAACCCGAACAGCCTTGAAATCACAATGCCACACTTCTCTATTTATGTACGTTAGATGACACACACTGTAGCCCTGCAACTGTAGGAATCAGTTGGTCAAACCAAATGTCATATGACAACAGAACACACATCATAAAGGATATAAAAAAATTGAAAATTGTGTTTCTTTATATATATATGCTCCCTCTGCTGGTTAGACATTGGAAGTGCCTGTAAGACACTAAATATTGATATGACCCTTTTGTATATAACTCCATCTGTGCTGTTTTTCCAGGACTACTTGGCTCACATTATCGATATGAGTAACCTTCCCATACGGCCAGAGCAGGTGTGTGCCCTGTTTGGAAACATAGAGGACATCTATGAGTTCAACAGGTAGGTGACACCCACTAATACAAACACACTGAGAAGCAATATTTCTATTCAAGATATTTAAAATAATGCCACAATTATAATCCCCATCCATTCTTATGGATGTTCTGTACTCTGTACTGAAAATGGAGTCAAAACTAAAGGATAAAAAAGGAAAAAACGGTATATTTGCATTAATGGAAGCCAAGAATCTGTAATCACTCATAGGGCTAATTGCTGCATTTGTGTACACATGATTTAATGGAGGAATGTTTTTATATACTTTCACATGTACAGTATGTAATGTGATATTCCGTAGTAAGATAATGGAAGAATGAGGAATGCTAAGAATGCACAACACTTAACTACTTTAATTTCACTAGCTGCTGATTTTTCTTTTACTGAAACAAAACGGATGCAATGAGAAACAAAGGAGCGACACTTTCTACAGTAATCATGCTTTTTCAAATATCTGAAAGCCGGGGAAATAGTGGAGCAGCTAGCTTTACATTTAATCATGTCAAGAAGTGCTCACTGCTGACCACACTGCTTGCCAAAACACACATTAACACATTAACATTCCTCTTTCCTCTCACAGTGAGGAGCCTCCTGCTAATGCCAAGGCTATCGTACAGCTCTGAACCACAAATGGGGATGATTTGATTCTAATTACCTTCTAATGAAATTCTAACCAGCAGTACAAGAGAGATTTTGACAGAATGTGGATCCAGAGGGCCACATGTTGCCCTTTTCTGTGAGATTAGGCTTTTCTCCTTGTCAAATTGCACTGGGAGGCCGTGTTTTCTTTAAGTTAGCAATGAAAATAGTGATACTATCTTTTATAGCAGTATTGTTAAGGTTGAGAAATGCTTGTGTCAGCCTGTGAAAAGGTGCCACATGTTATTTTTGAATGTATTGCAAGAGTTGCTGTGGGGAGGCAGCCCAGAGGGTAAAACAATTGATTTTTGTTGCAAGAGAGATTAGACTTTTTACAGTGTCTCTTTAGAGGCATTCAAAAACTAGATGGTTATTTAACCTACAAGGATCACTGAAAAGGACAGACCATTTGCTAAACATACTATACACTACAGTATGCACAGTAAATATGTTGACAGCAGTTACCTGTAATTCAAACCCTTGGTTGGTTGGCATAGTTGTCTGCAAATGTGTCATGGCCTAGGAGCCGGGTTATGACGCCATCTCAAGAGTTCTCAGTAATCTGTGGCACATTTGACGTAAACATGAATTGATTCATTGATAAACGTCCTTTCTTTTATCCGGGAATTTGTATTTCTTTGTAACAACCCTCTTCAACGTTAGATATTGTTGAAAAGCTAATCATGCTGTATGAACAAATATTGACACTGCGTCCGAAACAAATCTCAAGATTTTTTCATTGTTCCCTCAAACATGTTGACATATTTCGTCTTTGATGAAAGTTATGGAATGCTGTGTGATGAAATTGGAAAAATACAACTGTACAAAAAAACCTAAAACATACCCAGTGATCCTTCCTTCATCTATCCTATTTCAGTTATGCACATTTTATTGAGGTGATGCCACACCATGTAAAGAATTAAAACACCGTACCACTCTCAGCGTTCCCAGGCTCTAAACAGAGCTTGTTTTTGATGGGACTGTGGGCATGGAGAATTCCAAGGCAAATGCATGTTCTTTCACGTTCAGTCTGAACATGCAACAAGGTTCATGTTTAAAGGTGTATGCTGCCCTCTAGTGGCGATATAAGATATAGAGTCAAATCTTAGTCCTGGCAGAAAGACAGAAAAAGTATTGATAATAATTTATTGGCACTCATAATTATTCCATCCATTGTTTCTTCCTCCCTTTGTGGTCAAGTTCTGTTTCTGTATTCCTCCCTAGACAAAGAAATTAGGTTCGTCTATTAACACTCAATTTCCTCTCTGTTGTTGTCTTCTGCACTTCAGTGAACTGCTGCAGTCCTTGGACACGTGTAAGAACGACCCTGTGGCCATCGCTCGATGCTTTGTAGATAAGGTAAGAGGAACCATCTTCCTCATACTGACTCACAGTGATATCAGTTCCTCTAGAAATTACATACTAGTGATATGTATGTTTGTCTGACTTGTGTTTCCTCAGAGTGAATACTTTGAAATATACACTCAGTATTGCACCAACTATCCAAAGTAAGTAGCTACAATATATTCATTTTAATTAGACTTTTGCTGATGAGACCATATGTATCTTGCTGAGTTAAATGTGATATGATTAATATAATTGTCTGCTGTTCTCCAGCTCAGTGGCAGCACTGACTGATTGCATGAGCAGTAAAACTTTGGCCAAGTTCTTCAGAGATCGACAGGCTGCCCTGAAGCGCTCCCTCCCTTTGGGCTCCTATCTGTTAAAGCCAGTCCAGAGGATCCTAAAATACCACCTTCTGCTTCAGGTACAGAACGTCTTTAGTGGTTTGTTTCAACAGTGTTCTTCAAACTGCAGCCTGCATGCTTTCGTAGATTCATGGTTCTGTTATTTATCCACTATTAATGAGTAGTTCTCCCACCCTGCGATGAGTGAATAGTTCAACTACGGAGTGATTTTCTCTTTTGTGGTTCTTTGACTTGATGAATCATTAAAGGCCTAGAAACTACAAGCCCTTTAGTATTCTACAAGGTAAAAGCAACAGCAACAGAAAAATCACAAAAAAATGACTTGGACACACATCTTTCTTTGTTTGTGAATGATTTAACTAGTTCCCTATAGGTGTGACCTTGTCAGAAATAGTCCCAAATCTCTTTTATAGGAAATCGCAAAGCACTTTGACCCAGACGAGGAGGGCTATGAGGTCGTTCAAGAGGCCATAGACACCATGACCGGAGTGGCCTGGTACATCAACGATATGAAAAGGAAACACGAACACGCTGTCAGAGTGCAGGTGAGATTGGACCTCCACACATGCATGCCGACATCCTTTTAGAAAGGTGTATTTATGTCTTACGTACACTACAGTACATGCTCAACTTTATTCCACATGTTTGCTTTTCTTAACAAGATATTTTTTCTCTTGCATTAGTATGTACTTTAAAGCTCCAAATGTCCAAGTATTTCCAAGCAGATATTGTCTGAGGTAAATCCATGAACCTTCACAGTTCGGTCAGTGACCTATCCCCCTTTTCTGAAGTCTAGTTGAGTGTTAAAGTGAGGGCTAAAGCTTTTTAATGATTTCCCTTGGTTTGAGTCATTGACCGCGTGGCCGGTTCACCTTCTTAGTTTTCTTTGTACAAGTGTTTTATAAAAATTACGAATGAAAGCTGACATTTATTTTCTTTCATGCTGAAGAAACAAGACTGAAAGTGCATGTGTGGGGGGGTATTTGTTCTTTCATGTGCATCTGCAGGAGATACAGTCTCTTCTGATCAACTGGAAGGGTCCTGACCTGACCACCTATGGAGAGCTGGTGCTGGAGGGCAACTTTCATGTCCTGCGGGCGAAGAACACCCGTACGCTCTTTCTCTTTGAAAGGATGCTCCTCATTACCAAGAGAAGAGGGGAACACTATGTCTACAAGATCCACATCTCAGTATGGGTTTTGACATTTTTTCATTGATTAGTGATTTAATAGTTTAAAAAAAAAAAGTGGATAAGGATGGCTGTGCAGCAGAAAGCTAAATTAAATTACACATATTAATGAATATGTATTGCTACAATAAGGTGGCAAATCGACAGATGTAACCAACTCAATTGGGTGAAACTACATCACTACATTCAATATGGTTGCAGTGCTCCACCCTGATGCTACTTGACAGCGCCAAGGATCCCCTGCTCTTCAGTGTCATCCATTTCAAGCATCCCAAGCAACCCCACACAGTGCAGGTGAAAGTGAACACCAGTGTCAACCTTTTCAACACATAATATTGCAACAACAGTTGTTCATGAATATCACAAAACACCCAGTGTGGCTTGATTAAGTGTTTTAACGAGGCTCATCTTTGTACTCTTAATTAAATTTATTATAATTATTTACAAAGCGAAGAAAATACAGGAATTAGATTTTTCTAGAGCCTGTGGTTTGCCCTTTTATTATGTCTCTGTCCTGTATGCATGGGCACATCTGGTGCGTCTTTATTAAACGTCACCGACTCCTTCTAAATAACATGCTTGTTGTTACAGGCCAAGTCAGTAGAAGAGAAGCGTCTCTGGGCCCATCACATTAAGAGGCTCATTCTTGAGAACCACAACACCATTGTCCCACAGAAGGTAAACAACACCGTCTTTCAGTCCTTTCCTCTCAGCTACCGAAGAATTGTGTTTAAACGTGCTGTCTTTTTTTTCAAGGCAAAAGGAGCCATCCTGGACAATTCGAACTGTAAGTGTAACGTTTGTTATGCTAGGACCAATTCAGCTGTTTCCATAGCAACCAAAGATGCTGCTCACAAAAGAGGATGGTGGTTAATTTTTTGTGGAAAATATGGAATGCTGTTCTATTTACCAGGAAGGCCATAATCCATCTATCAATGTAGAGAAAATGATTTTTGTAACTGCGGTTCTGAGTGTAATGATGGATCCTTCTGCTGCTCAGATCCAGGGAAGTACCACTATAGTCCTGAGAGGGTGAAGAAAACGGAGTACTACCAAGCTGACGACTTCCATGTTGGAGGGCGAAATGGGAGAAGGAGATCAGGTTAAAGACCCCTATTCCATCTATCTATTTGTGTCTATTTTTTTATGCATTATTGCTGATGAGTGTTGTTGACACCATTCGTTGATTATATCATTTTCAATTCTGTCTTTTTAGAGCCTGCTAAACAAATCATAAGGAGCACAAAAGGTTGGTACACTGTGAGGTTGCCATTTATGTCACTGTGTGTTCACTAAGGTTTTGGCAGCCAAAAGAGAAGATTTATTAACAGAGGGTCAGTTTGATCCACATCCTGCTATTTAGTGGCCGAGCAGCCCCAAAACCCCCCTACCAAGGTTATTTTATGTCTTTCTATTAAAAGCTGTCCATATCTCCATGACACTTCTGCTTTGTTCTCCCTCAAAGACACCTGGAAAACAGATCAAAAGACACTTACTCCTACTCCACTGGCCTGACCCATAATGAAGTTAATTATATGCCACAATGGTTGAAGGCTTTGTCACACACAAGCTCTTTTCAATAGTCAAACTCAGCCTTGCCTTCAGATCTTCTTGCTCTCATTTGATCTAATTTGCCATTATGAAAGAGAAAACCTCTGTATTCTTGTCCCCAGTTTTTCTTTGCTCCCAGTCCAGATCAATTTTTCGACCAATGTAATGAAGAAGCAATTTTCATGTCAACCTTCCCATCTCAGTGAGGGAGTAGGTCATCACATCCTGGCTAATTGCATTATGTCCAGTTTGAACCTCTGAGAGGAAGATGTTTCTAATTGGTATTTATCTAATCACAAGGCCTCCCTTAAGTCTGGGTCAGACTAACTACTGCCTCACTCAGTCTGATTTTGGAGGCAGAGATTATGTCCTGACCATAATTGTACAAGATGCATGTGGTATACAGATTATTTTGTCACGTAATATTTGACATGAGCAGGCTTTTTTTTCCATACTTATTGACATTCTCATTTGTTTATTTCTCCTCCTCCCTCTCTTTGTCTTTGTTCTACATGTAGCTGTTTTGAAGGTAAGCGTCTGATCTCCGAATGTCTATCTATCTATCTATCTTATTACACCCTGATAAGCCTTTTTTTATTCTGTCATTTCAAAGCTTTTTGTAGGTCAGTGTGCAGTGGTGAGATATGGTTTAGCCAGTTTTAAATGAGCAGTTTAAATTCTAATTGCAAAAGAACTCAAACCAAATATGAGAAAGTGCAAACCTAATCTTCACACTACTACTACTTTGACTTGGATTACAAAAATCATATCTCACCCAAAGCGGAAAGCAGCTTAATGACGACTCCATCCCATACACAACCTTGCAATCACATCATGGCTCTAGCACCGGCCTTGCAATAACAAACCACATGTCTATGACTTCACGCTACAGCATGCAGACAGTGAGGGTGCACTGCTGGGGGAGAGGTGCTCCCTTCAGCCAGCCACTAGTGCCAGTACGCTGACCTCCAGCCTAGGCGAGCCCCAGGCTGAAAGGCCATGTGTGGAGGATCTTATTCCCAGAAGGGACTCTCTGGAGCAGCTAAGTCCTACTGACAGTGACCCAAAACTGGGATTATCACCCAGTGAGGGGGGGCTGGAGCTGGAGGAGACAAAGGAGGAGGATGATGAGGAGGGGGAGAGTTACAAGGAAGATATACTGATGGGAGACGACCAGGTAGCCGACTTTGCCAGCTCAGTGCTGGAAGCCATCTCCTGCTGGCACTATAAAGCCAGGGCTTTGCTTTCTACTCACTTCACAACGGTGAGGGTTTCTGCCACCCACGGGTTTCCCATTTCCTGCTCCATTCCGCTGGCTTACCAGTACTTTCTGCCACTCTTTCTCCCACGCTGGCTCTCGTCCCTCTGCCTCTTTTTTTCCTTTCATTAACCGAACCAACTAACACCCATTTGCTCTGTGCACATTGAATGCCCCAGGTTGAATTCATGATATTGAAGTGCATGGACTGAAGTTCTCCCAATCTGCTAACAGTGGACTCTAAAACATAGTCAAACTTGGTGCATGTCTTTGCTTGCATTGTTTTTGTTTTGGAGTTGAAGATCATCCCACCGTGCGTGCATGTTCTCCTTTGATTGTATGTTTTCCCCATCTGTGTTGTGTGCTGTGTTTCATAATTGTGTTCATGGGATATGATTGATGCTGAAGCTTATGCTGTTGAAACCATGCTTGCATTTGTATTAGAGCCAGTGGCTTAATGATCCCTGTTAAATGTTTGACTTCAAAGGTTAATGTAGCCATCTAATTAAATTATCATTATAATAGCAAGAGCTTGGCTCTTTGATAATCATATTTCCTAATCATATTTCCTCTCTGAATTTTCATAATTAGAAACTCTTTGTTAGGGTTAATTGTTATACTAGCATTGTTTCTGAATTAATACTTGTCATTTAAATTGAAAGACTTTTATTATGACCATTGTAGTGGATTTTCCGAGGCTGACCTGAAAACACATTAAGCGTCTAGGAAATGTGTTGTCTGCTGTGACAGATTATTTTGCTTCATGCTGCCTCACAGTGTGATCTCTAGGATGATTGAAGATACAAACTCTCAGTTTAATGTTGTTTTTTTGCTCTTTCAGGATGACCAGAACAGAGATCCGACTGAACTGAAAACGACGCAGAGCGAGGTGGTAGAAACTCACAAGTGGAAGGAAAAACATGTGGATGTGCCTGTGAAAGAAACTCTCGCCTCACAGGTACTTAATAAAGCACTGAATACATGTATACTCACAGCCATTCATTTCCACACACGTCTCTGAATTGTGTGACGTTCATTCACTGTGTCAGAGAGTGGCCATCTATCCTCATCTGCCCTTAGTGTCACTCGGTTGGTTGTTAAGCCTATTTTCTAACACATTTTCTGGGTATTTGCTGTTGTTATATAGTCTATCTAAATGAGAAAAAGCCAATTCAGTACTACATTAGACTTTCAACTAAGTTTTCTATCTAATATGTGCCCTTTGCCACGAGCACCTCATTTTTCTAAGGCCAATTTGAATCACGCCTGGAGCTATATTAGTGCCCGGAAATTAAAATGCCTGGCACACGCGCACAAACCCTGCTGTTCTGTGGTCAGCACTCCCACTGTGAAAGGCAGCATTGTATTTCAAAGCCAGGTGCAGTCCTTACCTGTTTCTCATGGTAACTTTGTGAAACGGCTCGTGCGTCTGAGCGGAGTGGAGGTTGTTATTCTCGCCAACCTTATCTCCACCACGCAGCTTCAAGCTGCACTTTTTTGCAATTGCAGGCACTCCAAAAGAGCGGGAACCACCTGGAAACAGATTTAGATTCATGGCCGACTAGGGAGACATCAGCACTATGAACACTGTATGAGCCGCAGACATGGCAGCGTTCATCGTTTAACTCACTATGGGTAACGAAAATGGTCCAGTAAGGAGACGTTAGCATCCAACCTGTAAATGTGATCACAACATCTTAGTTTTTAACCACACTTTAATATTTCACATAGAAATAGGTCAGTGTAATTAAACTCAAGTGAAGATAAAAGACATGCATCATAAATCATGGATACTTTAGATTTAACCGTCTAGTTGATTTTGAAAAGGTCCATTAAGTTAATGGGAAATGGAGAGTGCTTGCCATCATAATGTCTCTTTTACTCATTACATGCCACTTTGCAAACACTGCTCTCATGTTTCAGGTCAGTGTGGAGGAGCTGTGCCCTCTAGACTGTGTCCCTCAAGAAAAGAAGAAGAGCGATCAGCTGGAGGTGTATTACCCCCAGTGCCCCGAGTCTCCCATCTCTCCTTTGCAACAAGAAACCAACACACCAGAACCTCAGGATACCTCAAGAGAAACTGGAGAGGAAGAAGGCGGCGAGAGTGACTCCTCTGGTCTCCAAGTGGAGGAGACGAGTGTACTGACAAATGGGGAGCTCTCGGAGGAGGAAGAGGAGGTGCTTTCAGACAATAAAAGTATCCTACCTTCGTCTGTACTGGACCAGGCAAGTGTGATAGCTGAGCGTTTCATCAGCAGCCTGTCCAGACGGAGCAGTCTGGTTTCAGAGGACTTGGGTTCCCTCGCCTGCCCCTCACCCTCAATAGATAATGACGCCTTCAAAAGCCCCTCGGCTAGCACGGACTTAGAGAAACAGAGCCAAATGTTGGCCACCTCTTCCCCAGAGCCACAGGTGAACTTAGCTGATCTGTCAACACCTGCTCATGAACCTGCACTGAGCACCCTCATTGAAGGGGAACGCAGGTCCACTCTCTCTAAACAAGATCGGCTCCTCATCCACAAGATCAGAAGATACTACGAACACGCTGAGGACCAGGATGCTGACTTTAGCATCAAGCGCAGGGAAAGCCTCTCCTATATCCCAGCAGGTCTGGTCCGGCACCTGAGCCGACAGCTCAACAGTGGTCCTCAGGAGCAGGCCGTCCCAGTCCACAGGAAAGGCCTCTCTCAGAACCGCCCCACTTCCTGGTCTGTCTTTGACCTTCCTGGCTTAGAAAAGAGTCGAAAAACCAACACTCATCAAAAAATTGAATTGCAGAGGCCAGTGGAAGCCAAGGCTAAATCTCCGAGTCTTGCAGATGCCTCTACCACAGAAGAAGAGTTCAGACCCTCATCAGACATGCTCAGTGTTTGGCAAGACATGGAAATGGAGAAGGGGAACCAGGAAGTCCAGCAGACTGCAGAGGAGAAACTAAATGACTCAACATTAGAAGCAGCACAGGATATCAGCTCACACACTTCAGACGATGCAAAAAGGAAGCAACCGCCTCCGATTGTAGAAGAGTCTGAGATGAGCACTGTCTCCAATGACTCCTCTATCTCATCACCCACCGCAACCTTTCCAGCAGTGGAGGGGGGATCCTGTCAGGACTCTAAGACATGCAGGTCTCCCTTGCCTCAAGAGAACAGCCATGTCAACCACGGCCAACTACCCAAGATCATTAACTTCCGAACAAGTATGGACGAGGACCAGATCTTACAAGACATGGGAAAGATGAAAAACAAGGTGTTCCAGCTGGCACGTCAGTACAGTCAGCGCATCAAAAATAACAGACCAATAGTCTGGCAGAGGAACCGAGAACCAGCAAATCAGGGCTTCAGGAATATGCCTGCTGTCCAGGAGGAGAAGATGCAACTAAGGAAAAAGGGTAAATAGGATGCAAATGATGCCATGTTGCTTTCTTTTGCAGTAGCCTACCTGTTAAGCTCATGTATGGAGAAAACTGAAAAGCATTTTTTGTATGTTTTGTCTGTTTTCTGTGTATGTATTCAGGTAAACCCAACCTAAGATTGCCATCGAACGCTTGCGATCAGGCGCTCATCCCAGAAGAGCATTCTTCAAGCCCAGTCCAGAGCCCCAGCTCTGGAGCCACGTCCCAGAGCCCACTAACCTGCCCACAAAGCCCACACTCCACAGACACCTCCCACTGGCCTGACGTACAGGAGCTGCGCACCAAATACACAAAGACCTCCCACTTCTCAAAAGTAACCCGCAGCTGCACTGTGCCAAACGGGATGCTGGAGCGCTGTACAAACAGGTGTAATGGCTGCTCACACAAGTACAGTAGCTCCTCTGACCTTCACAAAGCTCTGGCAGACTGTCCTAGGACAACAGTAGACAAGGAAAGGGGTCCTGTGGTGGAGGACTGGTCCCAGCGCAAGCCCCTGCTGTGCAGATGGAACTCCTTGGACCACATGCTTGGGTCTCTTCCCCTCCATGAAGTGCAGAACCTTCAGGAACCTGTAAGGACCTGCTGCACAGCCAGTCAGGCGTCTCTGATAACAAGAGAAACTGGCAAACTAAGAGACGAGGACAACGCTCTCCAGGAGGAATCAGACTGTGCCGCAAAGTCTGCTGCCCTGAAGATGACAGAAAGTAATTTAGTGAAAAGCTTACGGGAGAAGTTCCAGAGTTTAAGCACAAGCTCGTAAATTATGTACATTTTTAATATGACAGACTATCAAATGGAAACGTTAACTGCCTGTTACCTGATGCTACCTTCCTGTTTTCCCCAAAAAATCTGCACATTGTTTTTAGTATAAAGGGTCACCGTGGTGATGTTAAAAACCAGTGAAACAAAAAAGGGATATTATTGGTCACTGGTGAGGGCGAGGGTGGGGTGAGAGTGTATTGCAATATTTGTACATAGGGTATTTGTCTGCACTGTACAATACACGTTTATGTAAAAATACGTATAGTCTCCTGTATGAAACTGAAGATTAGGTTCTACTTTATTATTATATGCATCCTTTTGGTTCCCTTCCACTGTTGGTGATTCTTGCCATAATCACTATATTATCATTTAACCATGTAAACTGTAAGCTGGAGTTTCAGGGGTTTCAGCAAAAAAGGAACTAAAGTCTCGAGAGAGAAGTCTCTGAGCATACACCAAAGAGTTTCCTTTTAACATTTGTTGACTTGTAATGCATGTGGGCACAGCAGTAATTTGCTTCCACGTCTACTGTAGCTGCTTCTAAAACTGTTTTTACACACTGTATCACTGGAGCTTTATTTTTTCTCAACAAGTTGTCTATTTTCTTTAATATTATTTATGAAACTGTACATTTCGGAGAGATTGGCCTCGTGTAAATACTGGCAAGTAGCAACCTTTTTTTCTTTTCCATTCCAGAAAATATATTGTTTCATACTTGAATTTTCCCATATTTTCAATAAAAACAGAAATGGTAATTGTCCACATCGGGTCCCTCTTCACCCTGTCGTGCATCTCAAGTACACTACTTTTAGATAAGATAATTTAGAAAAGGTTTTTCTGCTTATCTTTTGAATGTGCACTTAGAGTGGTCGGTCTGTGGTGGAGTGAGGCTGTCCGCCCGGAACCGGGACCCATCTTATCCTCCTGGCTTGGCTCGTCAAATGTTGTGGTTTCATTTTTCCATCTCAATGCACCTCCAACGATGTCTATCTGACATAAACTTTTAGCTATCTGACTCTAGTGAGAGACCACAAACTCTCACTTGAAGGTACCCAGAATTGGTGTGACACAGACTCACAGAAAGCAGAGAAATTGACAGTTTCAATCCACGTGAAAGATTTATTTGCATCACACAGGATACAAGCAAACCGAGTTATCCCAGGATACGAACTGACTTTTAACAAAGAAAATCACTTCATTATATGCGTCTTTCCCAGGATATCTATTGGTGACGTCTATGTCTGATAAGTAGCAGTCATATCACATCTGAAATGCCCTCCTCTCCGAGACAGCCTTGGTCCTTTGGAAACGTGCCTAGCTCATGGCACAATGAATAACACCTCTAACTTGTGAGACAACCAGAATGTGAATACATGAGGATGAACATAAAATATTATACTGTAAGCCTGTAAAATTAAACATAGAATAACACAACATAATATAGTTTGCTTCCATGTTCATAGAACCTTATCCCTGAAGTGCATTTACCCCACCTACAATCCATCTGCTCTGTGGTTTAAGTGAGTCAGTTCTAGTTATATCTACAAACTTCCATGAGCAGTTGGTTAAATGGAGCACTTCCATAATTTGTAGCAAGACTGAGAGAGTATTTCTGGAGAGTTAGACTATTTCATCAGTCTTGTGTACGTTAACACGTGAGAAGAGACGAGGACCAAACAGCACCACGAACCCTAATGGTAAAATGACACGATGCTCCTGACATGATCTTTTATTAATACATCAATAGGACAAAAAATGAAACCTTTACATTCTGTTAGGGGTCTGGAAAACCCGGGCACTCCAAAAAACACCACTTAATATTGTCTTTTCAGCTTGGTAAATCCTGATGAATTTAAGTGAGAATTGCCTTTCCAATATGATTTTTAACTTTAATGAGCAAGTTTCAGAAGTCTGCCTACAGGAAAGTTACACCATTAGTAATTGCCTATATAACGTAGTAAGTATTTCTTTGTGTATGTGTGTGGCCTTTATCAAATGTATAAATCCAGTTTGTGGAAATAGGGTTACCACTTTTGTACCAGATTGGGTTTGATTAAGGTTAGAAGTAATGGGGGAAATCAGTTTAACAACTATTATTATATTATTATTATTAATTATTAATAATGAATAATTATTATTATTATTATTAATATGTACACATACAGCACTGAGCTCTGTGCGACCCCCAATAATTAGGATGTGAAGCCAGTATCAATAAAATGGACCTGTCTGAGTAATCTGATCAGTGTATTTTAATCAGAAACCGTCAGGAACAGCTAGTGGCAGTATAATAAGGTGGGCGCATGTGTGTGTGTGTGTGTGTGTGTGTGTCTTCATTAATGTGTTTTAGATATATTTTATTTAAAGTGACTGCACAGCCCATCCTTTGTGCCCCAGGTTACCAACGCACCGTCTCCCTCTTTACTGAACCATCGCCTTTGAAAGCTGCGTCAAGTCAGCTACAAACACACCGGAAGTCAACAGGGCCATCCTTCAACATAAAAGCTTAATTGTGACTCAATATGTGCGCATCGTGGAGGGTTTTTATTTTGAACCAATGACCAGAACTTGCATCCCGTCGGCCCGTTTGCTCACTTGACACTGATTCGTGAGCCCAACAGAGGAGAGGAGTTCTGGACGCAATTGGAGTCGTGCACTTCAACCACATGCCAACAACAGATTTTCTTCTGGCACAAAATCAATTAACCCTTGTGTGTTTTCCCCCCTCTTGGATTCACGCAAAAACATCATCGGCTATTTCTTTTTTTTTTATATGAAGAATGGGCTGCGCAATATCAGGTCTGGCAGCAAAAGCAGAGTTTGGAGAGAGGAACACAGAGGATGCTGCTGCTGCTGCTGCTGCTGCGTATCCCAGAGAGGATCAGATCCAGATGATCAAGGAGTCGTGGAAAGTTATCCGGGACGATATAGCCAAAGTTGGGATTATTATGTTCGTCAGGTAAGCTGCTGACTCACTTTTCCAGATGTCCAATTTCTCAAAAGTGAAGAAATAATTTATCTAGGTGGCTGACTAGAAGTGTAGGAGATAATGTAAAGCTGCAGTATGTCAGCCCATCTGATATATACTAATCACTTAATGCATCGCAAAAATATGCATTTTCTATATATATATTATATATTATATATATATTTTTCACACGTGATGTTTTAAGGGGAGCTCAGGTCTTATGAAGAGGAGCCAAACTCCCCCCTGGCTCTCCTGTAGTTCACACCCTAATTATGTGTAGTATTATCAGTCACATTGAGTATCCTTTATAAAAACTGATTCTCTGTGGATATGTTGTGTTTTTTTTTCGCTTTAAGACAGGATTCTGTGGAAGTGGCAGTAATTTGCAGCCAAATAGGTTCCAACTTTTTCCTCAATGGCGTTTCCCCATACCATGTGTGTTTAAATGGCCCACACTCAAATGAGCAAATGTTGAATTTTCAGGTTAATCTTATCAGACAGCTTAGTGAAACCTCTGCACTGCGTGGTGACCTGCTGGCCCGAGACTAAGAGGTCTGCAGAAGGTCTACCCCGATCCACTGTGATGATGACGCGGTGCCTGACCTTTTCATACAAGTCAGAAAGTGAACATCCAGCATCCCTCTGCTCTGCTTCTGACCCACAGCTTTTTCGTGAGACCTCGGAGCAGAACGCCCCTCCTCCCCTCTTATCACTTCATATCACATCTTGACAACATTTCATAATAACACACAGCTCCAGGTCTGCCACACTACTACACAATTAAAGGCATCAGCCAGCAGGAAAATGCATTTTTATCAATTATAATGATGACCAGCATCCGGGAAATCGCCTTTGGCCCTTGGCAGGGAAATACAACAAATGACAGAATATGATGCTAAAGAGTGGCGGACATTCAGGCTGCAGCTGCTGGATCTGGAGTAAAGAGAATACCGGGCACATGGATGGTAGCCCAGTTAAGGCCATGTGTCCCCCGGGTGACCTCAACAGTTGAAAAGATTGACCTTATGGTGTTAGCCTGGAAATACATAGGCCTCTTTTGGGTCAGGGCCACCCCGGGGCCCCCAGGCTGTCAAGGCCTGTATCTCAGGACTGAACAGTAATTGTTACAGTAAGACAGCAAATGTGGATCACCTGTCTTCCATTGTGTACTTCCTGTGAATTTAACAAACCTTATTTCATGGCAACGGGGTGTCTTTCTGTCAAATTTAGGTAAAATAAGATTCTTGTAGGATCTATTCATGAGAAATGAGTTATGAATACAACCCCTCAACAGTGCCAATTAAAATTCCACATGAGCAATGTAGTGCCGAATTGTCTGCATATGTATCACACCCATGTCCACAAGGAGGACACACAAACAATGGAACAAAATAACCAGCTCTCTGCGTGTTGCCGCTGTGTTGGTGGAAAACAAAGAGCGGCCGATCAGTAAAGCTGTTAGGCTGGAAGCATGAACAGTGAGGGAGTAAATTTCAATTTAAGATAAAACAGGCAGACATGAGAATTAAATACAGCAATGGAGATATGAAAATGTGTTTCTTAGTAAGGGCACTCTCAACCCTACAGGGGCCTGGATGCAAAGACACTCCCTCACATTTTGTCTTTACCCAAGCTCGGGGGCCACATCAACATATTGCATTTCATTAGACATCTCTGCATTATCATCTGCTTGTCAAAGGGCGCAGTGCTACTCATTTTTTGCGCAGCTGCCATTAGAGACCATCACTTCTCTAACACCTCTCCTAGCACCTCTATTCATCTATCTATCAAGAGGGCCACATGTTATAGACATCCAATGCATTTATTCATGAGGGCTGTGCTCTGTTTTTCAGGTGTAAAAACACATTCTGTGGAACAACCAGAACAATAAACAGAAAATAGAATAGCTTCTCTTTGACCTGCCACACCCACGGGTATTTTAATTTATTATTTATTATTAATGCTTAGCTCAGTGTTACTTTACCATTAAAAACGTCTTTCAGCTCAAGTCCCTTAATGACAAAGCTGCATGCTCATGTTCAACTTCACAACCTCTGATGCCCCTCATTGTCCTTTTTCCCCTTTCATGTTCCCTTTGACACCAAGCTCATGCTAAAAAAGCAGCATTACAACCAGCCTTGCATCTCATTGTGAGCACGATACAATTCACATCCAGAGGAGGCAACTGTGTATTCTAGTAGCATAACTTATCACAGGTACCTTAGCTGGAGTTAGGAAGGCTCTCTGATTGGATGGCAGCAGTGCTTATGGAATAGATTGCAGTTAAATCTGTAAAAGAACAACTCTAGCAGGAGCATTAGACCGAGGCTCTGACCCTGCTCTTGAAGAGGCTCATCACAGTTGGAAATAAGGGTATGGGTGTCCTGGCTTACAAACCCGCAGATCCACCAGGGCCTGCCGCTGATTGCACCTGCTGGGTGTAAAAAGCCGGAGCAGAGGGCAGTGATGATAAGAAGAAGCAGAATAAGATCAGGAGGGCACAATCAGATCTCTATTCAATGTGTGGGGTGCAGAGAAGCCTCTAATCGCCATGTTGATTAGCTGCACATTCACACTCAGCACCACTAAAACTTATTTTTATGTCATCTTAGTTGGGAAACCCAGGGGGAGGTTTGTTTGTCTGTGTCGGGGATGAATATGACTGCTCCTCACGAGCGGCTCTCTGAGGCTCATGGATGGCTGCGTGCTGCTGTTGTTGTCTTGGTAACAGGCTGTTTGAGACCCATCCCGAATGCAAGGACGTCTTCTTCCTGTTCCGAGACGTGGAGGAC